AGGTCCCCCAAAGGGTCCTCCAGTGCCCACGATGCTGCGTTGGGGTGTGCATCCTGCCACGCCCGACATGCTCCATCTGCCCTACTGGTGTTCACTTAAACCCCCTCGGCCCCTCCCAGCCGATATGGAACCTCAGAGCCCCCAGGTTCAAGATCTGGTTGAAAGACCTTGTCGCAACCCAGCCAGCACAGTTCTGCGTGCTCACTCCCTAAAGGGGAAATGGGATGGCAGTGCCCCAGGTGCAGCCCTGAGGCCTGCCTGGAGTTGGTCCCTGCATGTGCCAAAGCCCCTGATCTCTTTGCTACCATGACCCACCCGTGCCCACCATGCAGGTCAATAAAGCCTTTTCTTCTAAATGCAGCCTGAACCAGATGACAGTGAAGTTTGACTTGGGGCAGGACCTGAGCAATCAGTGAGTCCAGCCTGCTCACTGCCCGTTGGCACAACCAAGTCCCAGCGAGAGGAGGTTGTAGCCTTAAGTCACCCACAAGCCAGTGGCACAGCGGGGACATGCCTGAGCTGCCGTGTGCCTCGGGGTTCTCTCACCCCGCTGCCTAAGGCTGCTTGCTGCGGAGCGCGCCCTGGTGAGAGGAGCCGCTGGTGCTTTTGAGAAACCAATGGCCTGCAGCACCTAACCTGGACAAGGACCCGTGATCCCCAGAGGGCCTGAGCCTGGGGTCGGGGGCCATGGCAGTGGGTGTGGAAAGCTGGTGGAAGGGAGAATGCATTAGCCAGCTCTTTTTGGGAATTACCTCCTGCGCTCAGTGCCACCCCTTAAAAAAAGCAAGCGGTTGTTTGTAAGTACGGAGACAAGGGGACAATAAGAAGTATAGCCCTGGCCAGTTTGGTTCAGCGGTTAGAGTGTCAGCCTGCGGACTGGAGAGTCCCGAGTTCGGTTCCCGCTTGGGGCATGTCCCTGGCCCTGGTTGGGGTCGTGTGGGTGGCAGCCACTTGATGTGTTTCTCTCACATTGATGTTTCTATCTCTCTCTTCCTCCCTCTCTCCCTCTTGCTAAAAGAAAAGTATAGTCCTGGCCGGTTTTGCTCAGTGGTTAGAGCGTCGGCCTGTGGTCCAGAGAGACCCGGGTTTGGTTCCTGCTAAGGGCACGTACCTCAGTTGCAGTTTGTCCCCGGCCCTGGCTGGGTTGTGCGGGTGGCAACCACTCAATGTGTCCCTTTCACGTCAATGTTTCTCTCTCTTCCTCCCACTCTATCTGAACAAAAAATGGAAAAATGTCCTCGGGTAAGGATTAAAAAAAAAAAGTATAAGCCAGCTTCTTAGACTGCCCCCCACCTCCTCGCTTTCCCCGCCTGGCACACACGTTTTAGGGGGGATGGAGCCCTCCTGCAGGGTTCTGAGAGCCTGTCCCAGGAATCTCGTTTTCTTCCGTTTTACTAGGAAAATGAAGCGAATGGCAGTGGATGACAACATTCTTGCTCTTTAAGACCCATGGAAAGCCCTCGTTACCCCACAAAGGCCAGGAGTAGAGGTTCCCGAATGGTCGAGGTTTGCGTGATCATCAGATGTTCTGGTCCCATAGGCTTGTGACGGGGAAACTGAGGTGCAGAGGGGAAGGGACTGGCCCGGGACTGGCCTCCTGTGCCCTTGGCCGTGCCTCTCCTAGCTGTACCCTCTCTGTCCTTCCCATTTCGGGTTGCCAGGGTCCCCTGCTGCAGCATACTGGGGGCAGGCGGCGCGCGGGAGACTCCTAACCTCCCCCGGCCTCTCCGGCGCCAGCCCTCTGTGGTGTCCTCATCAAAGTCATTAACCTCCTCGGGCTCTCAAGGTTGTTGCCTGCCTATTAATAGACTGACCAGGAGAATTCCACCACTGCCAGCAACACAGAATAGAAATCACGCTCCAGGCGCTGGTTTTCCTCTCTCCCCCACCAGCTTCTTCAACTCCTCGGACAAAGCTCTTTTACACCTGGCTTCCCTTCCCAGAGTGGACATGCCAGGGAGGGGGTGGGCTCTGCCGCTTGCCGAGCTGCTCCTGTGTGCACAGTCTGCAGACCTCTCCCACGGGCTCTTTTACACCTGGTTTCCCTTCCCAGAGTGGACATGCCAGGGAGGGGGGGGGGCTCCGCCGCTTGCCGAGCTGCTCCTGTGTGCACAGTCTGCAGACCTCTCCCACAGGGTCTTTTACACCTGGCTTCCCTTCCCAGAGTGGACATGCCAGGGGGGGGGGGGGAGGGGGCTCTGCTGCTTGCCGAGCTGCTCCTGTGTGCACAGACTGCAGACCTCTCCCACGGGGTCTAGTTTGACCCACACACCCTGGGGAGCGGACACTGTTCTGTCACCGGCGCTGCCTTGGCAGAGGGCGTGGCTGGCCCAAAGACTCTGGGCTGACAAGTGACAGAAGCCACTCACACCCAGTTCTGCCCGAATCCCCAGCCTGTGTCCCTTCCCCTTGCACCCCGCTGTCCCCAGTTGTAGCGCAGCCTTCCAGACCGGATTTGTAAGGGGCTTCAGGGTGATGCCTGTGGATGTTGGGGTTTCTTCGCGGGTTGTACACGTACTTTCTCACCCCATCAGGTCAACCAGGCTTTTCTGAGGACCTACTGTGTGCCAGGGGGAGCCTCTCACCAGGCTGTTAGTGCCACGAGGAGATGCCCACTTTGTTCTCTCCAGGCCTGGCACCCCGTGGGCTCACAGTTAGCCCTGATGAATGAATGGTGGGGTCAGACTCACTGTCCAGGTGAGAAGCAGAGAAGAGGCAGGCCCGTGGGCACAGCACGGAGCAGCCAGACGGAGGAGGGAGCAGTGGGCAGGGAAGAGGGGACAGGATGACTGTGCAGCGGCTCCCTGGGCTCCATGTGCCCTGAGCCCCATTTCCCGCTTTGCTCCCAAAGAAGCCCACTTGGTCTCCGGCTTCCTCCATCCCGCACCTCAAACTTTAGCAGAGATTTCAATTTTCCCAGCCATTTTGCCAGGGGAGTCCCAGGGAAGGCTAAAAGAACTCGGTAAATCTTTCCCTGCTCATATTCTAGACATCTTTTCCTAAGAGCGGAAGTTTGGAGAGCTGCCATCCTCTCATTACCCCTCTGCCGGGGACTAGCACGGAGCCGGCACCGGAGGGACCCGCGCCGCCCTGCTCGCCCTTCCTCCCCCGAGAGGTGCATGTCAGCACGTCCTCAGGCAGGCCCTGTCCAGCCGGGCGCCCCACTGTCCTTGAACGCTCCGCCCTGGGCCTCATTTGGCTGTCAGGAGTATTGGGGAGTCAGTAGAATGATGTACACTCCCGATGCGGGCAAGCTGGGAGGACCAGACAGCTAAGTACTCTCCTCCCCCTTGTAGACATAGAGTTGTTTTCTGAAAGCAATATACCCTCATTCTGGAACATTAGGAAAATATTGAGAAACAGGAAGAACGCCGTAATAATCACCCATAACCCCGCCACCCGGAGAGAAGCATGTGGGCATCTTGGCACACACGGCTCGTTTTCGTTCTGTTTTTCCCCGTGTGATTTTTCTTCTACCGGAACTGAGATCATACTGTAAGACATGATTTATAGCCCTTTGACCCCACTTAACATTAAGATAGATCACATATCCTTGGCATTACAAAGTTTTGTAATGATTTTAAAATGTGACTTTAACGGGCAGCGTGCACTGTCACGAGAGCAGGCACCATCGGTTACTCAAATGTTAATCCTGGTGCTAAATGGCTTCCTGGGGGCGGGGGAAGGGCGCTGCGTTTCGGCTGCAGGTACATTAGAGAAAGGAACAGCCGATCTCGGTTTCCACCCAGGGCACCGGGTCTGGGCTCTCCTTTCCTTGTGGTGGGTCCATCTCCAGACTGGAAAATATAGGTCGAAGGAGGTATCTACACTCAAAATTACTTGCTACGGGAAAGGAACTTCATATGAGCTATGTGGACAGGCGATTTCCCTCCGTCTCCATCCAAATAATGGGCTCTCCTTCCCCTCCAGACTGGATTCCGTGAGGATTTCAGGAGCTACGGCGTGGCAGGTGCAGACCGCCTGGCTCGTACAGGCCCGCGAGCTGTCATCATCAGTATTTTCACCTCCTGACTGTCTTGTCTGGTATTTTATCAGGGTGGCCAAGACCACCCCAGATCTGTGACACTGGGAGGGCTCAGAGGCTCAGCACACAGTTGTGCTTGTGGCTAAGATTTATGTCAGCGAGAGGATGTCGGCGAACCCAGCACAGGGAGCAGGTGCGCACAGGGAGCAGGAAGCCAGGCGCAGACCTCGGGGTCCTCGCCTGTGCCGTCCGCAGGGCGAGCTTCGTTCCCCCAGCGCTGAGCTGTGACAGCAAGTGTGAGGTGCTGCCTGCCAAAGATGCTCATGAGAGACTCCGCACCAAGGGTTTTATTGGGGGCTGGTCACACAGGCACCCTCTGCCGGTACCCACTTTCCAGATCTCCAGAAGAAAAGCAAGTGGTGACCATAAAGCCACGCAGTTGACACGAATGGCCTGGGCACCATGCACCCTTGTCAATTGGGGAGCGGTGGGAACAGTCGGAATGCAGGTCCCCAGGTGCCAACCACGCAGCCTTCCTGCAGATGCAGGCTCAGGCCGGCTCTGTCAGCTCTTCTTTTTTCTTTATTGAATTTAGAGAGAGGAGAAGGGAGAGAGAGAGAGATAGAAACATCGATGAGATAGAACAGCAATTGGCCTCCTCCTGCCTGCCCCCCACTGGGGATTTGGCCCGCAACCTGGGCACGTGCCCTGACTGGGAATCGAAGTGGGGCCTCTTGGTGCCTGGGTCAACGCTCAGCCACTGGGCCACAGCAGCCAGGCTCTGTTAGCTCTTTTCTGTACAGGGGTGCTAAGAGACCATTTCTCATGTTTGGACCACTTCAAGATAAGGGTGGGACAGGTGTCCTGTTTCCATAGGACAAAACCAAAGGAAAGGGATGTAGGGACTGGCCTTCTCCTCCGTGAACAGGTCCTGAGAGGAAGCGAGTTCTGGGGAACGGGAGGGTGTTCCTCCCTGCCCTCGCCCTGCTAACCCTGTGTGTCCCTCTTTCTCCAGGCCCTCAAGGGCTCCAAGAAGCTGGTGCTGTCGGTGTACTCGGCTGGGCGCATCCCGGGGGGCTACGTCACCAACCACATCTACACCTGGGTGGACCCGCAGGGCCGCAGCATCTCCCCGCCCTCCGGCCTGCCCCAGCCGCATGGCAGCACCCTGAGGCAGCGCGAGGGTGACCGGAGGAGCACCCTGCACCTCCTGCAAGGCGGGGATGAGAAGAAGGTGAGCCAACTGGCCTTGGCCTCTGCGGGCCGACCTGGGATAGAAGGCTGGTTGGGAGGCTGGCCCCCAAGACTCCATTCTTCTCGCCACACCCAGAGCAGGGAAGCCTCTGAGGCTGGAGGAGGGGGCTCGGTTCTGTCGGGGCTCAGTTCTGTCGGGGCGCTGCCTCCTTCAGACCTGTGCAGGCTGCAGGGCTGCAGCAAAGAGCCCAGAGTGTGATTCAGATAAGATCGGTTCTCCCTCCCCGTCACAGTGGAACAGAGGGGAGTGTGGGCTGGTGGGCAGTGCTCTCCACGCCTTGTTCAGGGACCCAGGTTCCCTTCTCTACCACCCTCTGGGGGGTTGCCCACTCTGGTGGCTGAAGCTGGGCCATGCCAGGTGCCCATCTGACCCCTGGACTGGAAAGGGGATGAGAGGAAGTTCAGAGCTTCTCTTTAAACTTGAAATGGTTTCACTTCCCAGCAGTCCAGGCCCAGGCGCTTAGCCACACTCAGCTGCCAGGACCTCATGCCCTTTGGGGGTGCTGGTCTCTGGTTGTGAGGAACAGAAGTCTGTCACCTCCACCAAGTAAGAATTGACTGGCAAGGTGTGGTTAGTCCCAGAATTAAAGCTGAGACACTTGGGGGTACAGCCTCCAGAAGAAAGGGGGGTCCTCCCTTTCAGTTCTCCGCATCCTTCCCCTCAAGGGAGGTGCGTCTGATTGGCTGGCGGGGACAGCTGGGCACTTTGATTGACAGAACCACCAAGATTGTAGCTATTGGGGGAGGGGTTGTTGTCCAAAGCACCCTGGGCTCTTGTACCTGCAGAAGGAGGGACAGGGGCATCGATAGATGCCCTTACAGAGCCCTCCTCTCCCCAGATACGACTGTTTCTTAAAATATTGTGAAAAGGACTGAGAGATGGTCCCCCTGCTGTCTCTCTGGGGGCTGTTTGCCTTGCACCCCCAGTCGCTCCTGGGACCAGAATGTCATTTCTGCAAGAGCTCTCTGGTCATTCAGGACCTGGACACCGACAGCCCGGAGGCCACAGAGGTTGGGGCTGTGGGCCAAGCGCCTTCCCTCTGGGGGCTTTCTCAGCTTTCCTCTCCTGTCGATAAGACCGTAACATTTATTTAACGGGTTTTGTGTTCTTTGTGCTCAAACGTCAATATGCAGCACGAGGCAGAGATGGCAGCAGCTTCCACGCCAGGCGAGAGGCGGCGGGGTGCCCAGTCGGTCTGCACCACTGGGGCGGCCTGGGCGTCTTCAGGGCAGGCAGGACTGGCAGGGGCTTGCACCCTGGCCCCTCCAGGCGACCTTGCTCCCGGGCAGTCGAGGAAACAGCGGTGCGCGTGGGCTGACCCGTTTCCACAGCCCGCCTCCAGAGGTGGGCAGAGAACGTGCTCTGTCTTTTCTCAGGCCCCTCCCTAGTGCAGGGCGGGATGTTCAAGTAGGAATGATCGCTGCGGGGAGCTGCCAGGTGCTGGGCTGTGCTTCCCTGAAGCCTCTGGCTGCCCTGCAGGGGAGGGATGGGGACTCGGAGCACTGGGCAGCCAGGACCCGTGCAGCCCGGCTCCCTGAACTGAGTGAGCTCCTCGTGCGCCTGCGGCTGTTGTGGGAGGTGGGAATAGAGACACGGACAAGAAAGATGAGACCTGGTTCTGGGGAAGCTTCCACTGAGCTTGGAGGTCACGGGAGGATTGAGACAATGATACAAAAATGAACATAAGTTAGCAAAATCATTAAAGTGGCCCGGCTGGTGTGGCTCACTGGTTGAGTGTCCACCCATGCACCAAGAGGTCACCAGTTTGATTCCTGGTCAGGGCACATGCCCAGGTTGTGGGCCTGATCTCCAGTAGGGGGCACGCAGGAGGCAGCCAGTCGATGTTCTCTCTCATCGATGTTTCTCTCTCTCTCCCTCTCCCCTCCCCTCTCTCTAAAATCAGTAAAGATAATTTTTTGTGGTACGTGCCCCTAGCAGGAATCGAACCCGGGACTCTCTGGTCCGCAGGCTGACATTCAACTGCTGAGCCAAACTGGCCAGGGCAAGAAAAAAGTTTTAATAAAATAAGTAAAGTGGTGAAGACTGACGGAAGAAGTAAGGTCAGGAGAGGAGATAGAGTGGGGGAGAGGAAGCACTCTTTGGATGAATGGCCAGGGAGGGCCTCTTGGAGGAGAAATTCCTGAGTGAAACCTACAGGAAGGAGGAGTCACCATTGCCTCCTGGGGCTTGAAAATTTCAGGTAGTAAGGACAGCATGTGCAAAGGTCCTGAGGTGGGAACAAACATCTTTGAGGCTGAGAGAGCAGGATCCTGTCCCTGGAATTGAGTGTCTGGGAGGGTTGGGAGGAGACCTCTGGGAGTCTTAGAGTGACTTGTATAGAAATGCAGAAGGCAGAGGCTGGGAGAATTGTGCTCCCGGGAGGACCCACATACTTCATAAGGCAGGAAATACCTGGACCACACCAGGGAGGCCTTCACAGAGCTCACAGCTCCAGATGGAAGCTTCTGCCCTCCCCCGCTCCTCCTCCAGCTGACACAACAGGGAAGCCCCATGTCCCTGTTGAGAAGGGTCATGGGGAAGTGTCTCTGGAGCCCTCACTCAGGCTCCCTGGGCCTGATTCTCCTCTGTCCAGTGGCCTGGTCTTGTCTTCTAATATTCCAAATCGCTGTGACCAGACTCCTGCTTGGACTTCCCGTGCCAAGCTTTAGAAATCCTAATAGCCCCGGAAATGTGTCCTCGGGGCAACAGTGACATAAAACCACACGTGTAACCAAATTCTCCTTGAAAAGCCCCTCAGCTGCCCTCTGAACTTGGTCCTGGCTTTGCAGCCCCCTGGCCATGTGCGTCTTCACACTGCAGTGTGAGAACCACGCTCAGGCAGCAGGAAGGCGCAAGGAGAGGGAAGAGAATATGCAGCTCTCTGTGAACCAGACCTGTCTGCCGGCAGACACTGCCTCCTCCTCAGGGCAGGGGGCGGGGGCAGGGGGCTCATTGTCCCAGCTCCCATTCTGTGCTAACCCTCAGCCTCGGCAGCTGCAGTAAACCAGGACAGAATTGCTGTTGGGGGTTAAAGGGGATGGCTAGCGTCAGCGTCAGCGTGGCAGGGAGGATAAGACGCTGGAGCCAGACTGCCTGGCTTCAAATCCTGTCTCCACCACTTACCAGCTGTGTGGCACAAGTTACATAACCTCTCTGAGCTTTGATCGCATCCTCTGTCAAATGGAGACAGTGATAGGGCCTACTCTCCCCACCACTGTGTAAGCTCTGTGGCCGTAAGGATCTTGGTTCTGTGCACCCATCGTGCCTGGAATAGTGTCTGGCACGGCTTAGGCGCTCAGTAAGTGTCTAAGAAACGAATTAACTACTTAGAATGGAAACACCTTGCCAACTGGCCGGTCCACGGTAGATAGAGTCTCAGTAAACGTCTGCTGGGTTTAAATCTAAGTCCTGTGTGATCAGACCCATGTACATGCTGTTCTTCACAGAGTTACAGAGGATATAACTTCGAGGTCCTCATGACCCCCTCCTTGGGCCCCGTTAAATTGCTACAGCAACTGAGAGAACTCAGGGAAACAGTTACGTACTGTTTGCCAGTTTGCTGTAAAAGGACAGGATAAAGGAGACAGGAACATCCGGACTGAAAAGGTGTGGAGGGCGGGGTACATGGGGAGGGCACAGAGGTCCCGTGCCCTCTCTGGGTGAGCCTCTCTCCCTTTACCTCCATGTGTTCGCCAACCCAGAAGCTCTCTGCGCCCCAGACTGTTGGGGTTTTTATGAAGGCTCCTCATGTAGCACGATCAGTTATCAATCATTTCAGCCCCTCTGCCCTCTCTGGAGAATGGGGATGGGGTGAAAATCCCAAGCTAATCATGGCTTGGTTTCTGGTGGCCAGCCGGGTAGAGGAGCCATGCAGAAGCCCACCCAGAGTCACCTCATTAGAACGAAAGATGCTCCTCCTGCTCCTGTCACTTAGGAATTTACAAGGGTTCCAGGAGCTCTGTGCCCGGAATGGGGTTGAAGAAAGACCGTGTGTGTGTGTGTGTGTGTGTGTGTGTGTTGTTATAAATTGCAAATATCACACCTGGTTTTAGAACTTTCTGACCATGTGGCCTTGAGAGAGTCACTTAACCTTGGGTGAGCCACTTAAACTCCCCTCTCCTTCATTTGGGGATGGTCACGGCAGCCACGTGGGGCTGTGCCGAGGATTAATGATCATGTGTGTAAGCACAGCACAGTGCCTGGGACATAGTAATTAATTCCAGTGACAACCGTCATTTATCGAATGCCAACTAGGAGCTAGGTACCTCTCCTGTCTTTTGTCCCAAAATACATTTTGGCATCATCTCCTGGGGTTGCTCGTGTTGGCAGGGTCGGGGTCCTAGGACAAGGCAGGAAGGGGGTGGCAGTGCCCACTCCTTGTAGGCCGTGTGCAAAAGTCTCACTGATGGGGAAAGGGAAGGTCAGAGAAATGATGGGCCTTGCCTCATGGTTGCCCAGGAGTAAAGGGCAAAAGCAGGATTTGAACTCAGGCCTTCGGGAGTCAGTGTGGTGCTCTGGTTAAAGGCCTGGCCTCTGTAGCTCCTGGCCCTGTGACCTTGGCCCCATCCTTTTATCCCTCTAGCCTCAGTTTTCTCATCTGGAAAATGGAGATAATAAGAATAAAACCATAGCGGAGGAGAGAGGATTAAACGAGGTAATTAATGCGTGTGAAGTGCCTGGGATTTAGGAAATACATTTAGTGACCAATTAACTCGGCCAGTTGTTGCTACATTCATACTGTTGGTGGGGATGGTATTTTCCCGGAGCCAAGCTGCCTCTGCTCAGCATCCTTTCCCGTTGCTGAATTTTGTTTCCTACAAATGCCATTGAATTTCCAGCAAGTGATTGAGGCAGATTACCCTGCGGTTGATGGGACTGTTATCACGGCTCTGTGATAAAGACTGTTTTATTCCCTGTAAAGGATTTATGGGGCGGTTGTGGGAGGCGGGAGGTTTGTTTTCATCCTTAGAATTCAGAGGGGCTGCCATCTGTGTGCTCCTGGATTCCGCCGGGACCTCTCCCCCAGCATCTTCGTGTTCTGGAGCGGGAGGGGCCAGGTGGGTGGGCCAGGCTGGGGGGCAGGAGGACAGACCCCAGGTCACCCAGTGAGCAGGGCTGGAGTTCGGCTTGTTCCAGGACCCGAAGGACAATGTGGCCCAGGGGATTAGTTCTCCCTGGCAGGGGGTCCCAGCTGGGAACCACCCACTCTGCCCTCGCCTGCCTCACTGGTCTGAGGCCCTCTCTGCTGTTCCCCTCCCCAGAAGTCTTTCTAAAATCCCAGTCTGAGCCTCTGTCCCCTGTTTAAAGCCCAGGCTTCTTGGTCTGGCTCACAGCCCCCCACTTACGATAACCACAAGCAGAATCCTGCGGTGACCCCAGGGGGCTGTGAGCTGTTCAGATTCTGAGCTTTTGCCCACCCCCCTTCCCTGGCTGACCTCCTCAGCCTTCAGGATTCCAGGGTCATATTTCCAGAAGGCTCTGCCTGAGGTCAGGCTCCCGGGAATGGGCTCAGACCAAGACTCCCCCGGAAGACGTGACAGGAAGCGCCGTGTTAAAATGGCTCCCCAGCAATACCTACCTCCTAAGCCCTGGGGCCTGTGGAGATGTCACCCTCCATGGCAGAAGGGACTTGGCAGATGTGACTGAGGATGTGTAGGTGAGGAGGTTTTCCTGGATTATCCAGTGAGCCCAAGGGGATCACAAGTGTCCTCAGGAGCAGGCGGAAGTGGCCGAGTCAGAAAAAGGCGGTGTGATGCGGGGAGCAGGTGGACCGGAACGTGCTCCGCTGGCTGTGCAGACGGAGGGGGCCATGAGCCAAAGGGAGCAGGTGGCCCCCGAAGCTGGGAAGGCTTCTCCCCGGAGCCCCGGGGGGTGCAGTCCTGTCAACCCGCTGGACATCTGCCCCTGGATGCCCAGGGGCAGCCCGCCCCTCCTGTGGGCAGGCACCCTGCTCTCTTCGGGTCCCTCACACGTCACCGGCTCTCACCTTATTGCGGGAAGTCCTCTGCTCTCGTGGGGTAGGTTTCAGCTGACCCGGCCCCTTCTCCTTTTCCGTGAAGTCCCCTGTCGTGCACAAGGCACACCTGACCTGAACATCCTGCAGGTTTCAGATCCCCCCCGCCCCCGCCTCTCCTGCCTGCCCTCCCTAGCCCCCAGCCCACCCCAGCATCCGACTCTGGCCACAGTGACTCACCTCCCTCACCTCCACTGTCCTGAGCAGTGGCACATGCTGTCCTGTGTCCCCTCCTGCCTGGTGACTCCTGCTCACCCTCCAGTCTCATCAGAGATGTCACCTGCTCCAAGAAGCCACCCTGAGCACCCCACTCTCCAGTCAGGACCATTGCCCTTTCTGTGCACCTACGTGGTCCCCGAGCCGCCCCACCGTGCTCGGGTCACACTCCTGACTGGTCTCGCTGCCCCTTTAACCCGAGACCGTCGCAGGTAGGGCTGTGTCTGGGCCGTCTCTGCGTCCCCGGCCCGGCCCGGAGGGGTCTGGACGCTCCCTGTGTTTGTGGAATTAAGGGTTACTGAAGCACCATCGCGGTGGTGTGGCAGGATGGATGGCAGAGGTGGGAGACCCACGGAAGGTGGAGGCCCCTGGGAGATGGATTGTGGCTCCCCAAGCCTGGGCTCAACCTTGATCCCCAGGAGGGCGACTGGAAGGTGAGGGAGTCTGGGTGGAGACCCAGGGCCTGAGCGGGCCTCCCTGACCGAGGGGGTGGCCAGGGACGGCCAGTGGAGGCAAGAGTCCACGCCCCCGGTGACGAACGTGTGGCCCCTGAAGGGTTGAGGAACTCCAGGGTGAGCATCAGGGAGTCCCCAGAGGTCTTCTCCTTCAGGGCCTCCCTTTTCCTGCCCTTGTGAGTGCGGCCCAGGGAAGGAGAGGGACTTCCCCAAGGTCACTGAGCAGGGACCAGCGTGTTCCAGGACACTGAGACCTGCCACATGTGCCCTTCAGGATGTGGGAGCACCCTGTGGCCTGCTGCCCCCGGGTCATGGCGCCCTTCGGGCCCTCCAGTGCTGTCTCCTGTCCCTCTTGCAGGTGAACCTGGTGCTGGGGGACGGCCGGTCCCTGGGCCTCACGATCCGTGGGGGAGCAGAGTACGGCCTCGGCATCTACGTCACCGGCGTGGACCCGGGCTCTGAAGCAGAAAGCAGTGGGCTCAAGGTGAGAGGCCCCTGGCGCCCGCGGGAGGGGTGGGCGCTGGGCTGCGTGCGTGGAGCTCCGTGAGGCGGGTGCAGCCAGGCTTCCAGCAGACAGTCAGCACCCGCCGCAAGGACGGGCCCAGCCGGAGCCCTTCCCTGGCTGCATGCCTCTAATTCACAGCTCAGCGCGGCAGGAGCCTGCGCACCTCCCGCGCCCCGGTTCTCCCGCTGTGCTCAGCGCGGGGCGGCCTCCCTGTGCTGCTGGGCAGGGGGCCAGCCCCGGCTCCTCACGGCTGCTGTTTTGCAAACACTGCTGATGGACTGCGATGCGATGCCCGACTTCAGGGCTTACTGGGTGCTTGGAGGGGGAAGAGGAGGGAGAGCCGCGAGCTGGGCGGGGCTTGTACCGGGCCGCTCGGGGCTGGCATTCGATCCAGGGCAACCAGCAGTTCCTGAAGTACTGTTATTAACTCGCCTCTTAGAGCTGATTGTGTGCCCAGCATTCACAGGTGCCACCTTATCGAACCTTCATGCTATCCTGTGGGGTAGGTCCAGCTGGGGAAACCGAGGCAGAGAGAGGTTAAGCAGACTTACCCACGGTCACACAGCCGATGGGGGGGTTTGAGCCCAGGCAGTCTTTTTTTTTTTATCCTCATCCGAGGACATTTTTCCATTTTTTGTACAGACAGAGTGGGAGGGAGAGAGAGGAAGAGAGAGAGAGAGAGAAACATCGACGTGAAGGGACACATCGAGTGGCTGCCACCCGCACGACCAACCAGGGCCGGGGACAAACTGCAACTGAGGTACGTGCCCTTAGCGGGAACCGAACCCGGGTCTCTCCGGACCGCAGGTCGACGCTCTAACCGCTGAGCGAAACCGGCCAGGGCGAGCCCAGGCAGTCTTGATTCCACCTGCGAGGCCATGAGCACAGCACAGGATGAGGCTGTATCTCTGTAACAAAGGGCCTGAGTGCCCCACTAATGTGGGGGAGCCTGATCCTCTCACAGATGAGAGGAAGCAGTCATGGGGGACCGGAGTGGTGACCGGGGGTCCTCCCGAGCCTCGCTGTGGTGTCCAGCGGAGTGGTGGAGAGTAGGGCCTGTCAGGTGCTCTCAGGAGATGCGGGTAGTGGGAAGAGCTCTGGGTTTGGAGCCAGGAAGATTGGGTTCCAGTCCCAGCTTGCTGCTTCTGCTTTAATAGCTGTGTGACCTCGGAGGCTGCCTTCACCTCTCTGAGCTTCCCTTCCTTCCCCAGGGAATCGTAAAAAACAACGTGACTTTCTCAGGATTACGGAAAAGAGGAATGAACCAACTATAACGTCAATAATAAAGGCTAAGTTTATTGAGTGTCTAAGTAACGGGCTGAATGTTTGTGTCCTTCCCAAATTCATGTGTGTCACCTCTAACCCCCAGAAGTGATGGCATTGGGAAGCAGAGCCTTTGGGAGGCACGTAGGTCACGAGGGTGGTGGAGCGATGAGGTCCGTGCACTTAGGAAAGGGACCCCAGAGAGCCCTTTCGTGCTCTTCCCAACACGTGAGGACACAGAGAAGTTGGCTGTCTGCAGCCTGGAAGAGAGTTCTCACTGAAACCCAGCTGGGCTGGCACCTGATCTGGGACTTCCAGCCTCCAGAACAGGGAGAAGCAAATGTCTGCTGCTTACTAGCCACCCGGTTACTTTGCTCTGCAGCTGGGACTGACTGAGACCGTCTGTTCTTTACCCAACACCTCCTAACACCCCTCTGCAGTACCTTCTTTTGTGAGCCCTGTATGTAGGCACAGTGTCTGAGACACAAAGAGTCACACCGCTAGTAAGAGGGAAAGCCAGGATTCCCATCAGGAATTGGGGTCGTGGTCCCAGAACTGAGCTGGGGGGTGGGGGGCAGGTACTCCCCAGAGGTTGGCCGGGTCTGGCGCGGGCTATGCTACTAGCCAGCTGAGAAGAGACTGTGCTGGGACTCCAAGAGGAAACAGTCTCCTAGTATTCTAAACGCAGATTGCGCTTAATACACTTGTTACTTTGGAATAATTTTAGATTTACTGAAAAGTTGCAAAGACAGTTCCCCTTTTCCTTCATCTAGCTTCCCTGATGTTAACATCTTCTAGAAGCAGGGTGCGTTTGTCAAGACTAAGAGGCTAACATTATTGGTACAGTACTCCTAAACTGACGACAGACTTCTTTCGGAGTTCTCAATTTTCTCACGAATGCCCTTGTTTCTGTTCTAGGACACAGTACAGCCCAGCACACCACATTGCACTGAGCCTGTATGCAGTTTTACTTCTATTTCTTTCCCCCCAAAACTAAAAAGGATTGAAGGTAGTTTAAAAAAAACAACCCTTCTCTCTTTTTTTTTAATGAGTGAGAAAATTGGGAGGAAGGAAAACGGAGGCAGAGGGAAAGAGGAAGCCGGGGTGAGAATCTTTTCAGAACACTTGCTATGTGGGCTGCAAACCCAGCTATAGGCAGGACGCATTTGGCTCTGAGCTTCCTGGCAGCCAACACAAAGAGGGAAGCAGGGGAGAGACATTTGTAAGACGAAAACAAACCGTCTGCGTCTGAGAAGTCTGGTTGTTCCTCTTCCTGAGGCATGAGAGCAGCTTCCCCTGGTCCCTCCTACAGAGAACGTTGTGATGATGGAAGCAGTGTTCTCAGTGACAGGAAACAAACAAATGGGTTCCATATATAAATACGTTCTGATCGAATCCATGTTAAAGACAGGGAGGCCCTGGCTGGTGTAGCTCAGTGGTTAGAGTGTCAGCCTGTGCACCAAAGGGTCTCGGGGTGAGTACCTGGGTTGCAGGTTCGATCCCAGGCCCAATTGGGGTCGTGCGTGAGGCAACCAGTTGATGTGTCTCATATCGATGTTTCTCTCTTCCCCCTCCCCCTCGCTCCCTCCTTGCCACTCTCTCTAAAAAAGTCAATGGAAACAAATATCCTCAGGTGAGGACTAATAAAATAAGAAAGACAGGAAGAGGGGGAGGGAGTGTGCAAGAGGGAGGAGGTGCTAGGCTCTGGCCTGAGGACTGCATATCTCAAGAGATCGCCGGTCTGTCACTAACTGGGAAGCAGGGCTGCAGAATCCCGGATCTAGCAGGATCTCAGCCGTATGGCATGTGCATGTAAAAAATACGCACAGAGAAACACCTGTACCGACCTCTACCGAAATGTCAACAGTGGTGATCTTGCCTCGGGGTGATGGATGATCCTCCCGTTCTTTGTGTCCTCGTGCAGTGTCTGAATGGAGTGAGTATTAACTTTTATCATCACGGGAGCAGCGACAAGAAGGCGATTTCCATTTTGAAACAAGGCAGAGGAAAGGTATATTCCATACAGGGTTTCCAGGCACGCCGTTGCCTCTCGGTTGCGGGCTCTCGAAGGCTTTATTTGCTTATAAAATGCCCGCCTTCAGTGAAGTCCATTGCATCCTCAGCGCCCCACAGCGAAGCTCTTGGTAGTTCCCTGGCGGTTTTCACTCCCCTCCCCTCCCCTGGGGTGTGCAAACGCCCGCACTCACGGACACCCAGCACTGATTACATCCATTTATTGCCCATGCGTTTCCAGTAGAATTAGGCATATTGAAGTGGAATAAAGGGGCTTGGCTGTGTGGGTGGTGGAGCCAAGAACAGGCTTTATTTGTCAATAGGGCTCCTTGCTGCTGTGCAGAGCTTGCCCGCGGAGAAAGGGCTGCCTTCTGCCTGGCTTCCCGTGCTCACTAAAGGGCAAGTCAACTGCCGGGAAGAAAAGCTCCTCGGAGGGGGTCAGGCACCTCCCAGCATTACCTGGGGGCAGCAGGTGGAACTCAGAACTCTCCCAACCTCCCCGCAGGGCTGACACCCCTTCAGCTCGCATTCCTTCAGCCTCTCTTATTCCCGTGCACCTTCCCCTACAGCTTCAAGCCCACCAAAGCACGGGCCCTAAAATCTTGTTTGTTTCTTTAAGGACAGCCAAGATTGACTAGCACTTAAATAATAATGATGACAGCAGTTGCTTTTTATTAACCAGCTATTATGGAGCAAGTACTGTGCTAAACGCGCTAGGTACACTCTTGCTCATTCCCCCCAGGACCCCCGTGGCAGGCATTGACAGCGCCCTTTAATAGAGGAGCAGTTGGGGCGCAGGGGGGTGCAGTCGCTTGCTCAGGATCAAGGGCTCTAGCCCCTCAGACCCTTAAAAGGCCATGTGCTTTTTTCCGTCACCCCTTATAGTACCCTGATTTGACCAAATATCAAAAGAATGAGAGAGAGGAAATGAAGAACGTTGAGCCCTAAACATCAGCAAGGTTCTGAAGCCCTGGCGGCCGTCCCAGATCCTGCCCGGCCTTCCCCACCCGCCCACTGTGGTCTCCCAGGGTCGGAGGCCCCCTTAGTTCCTGCCAGTGGTCAGGCGTGTCAGTGTGGACTCATTTACCAACAAGAAAATATGTGTATGTGTACACACAGATAGATGCAGACATAAACAGGGATGTGTGTATGCGTGAGTTAGTGTATATACATTCATTTCCTCTCTCTATCCATTGAGAGGGGCTTGAGGCAGGGACACCCCAATAAAAATGTGTACACCTAAATATTGCTCTCCCAATAAAAGGAGCCAGGACTGTTTGTGGGAGTGGTTGATGCCAGGTCTAGGGCAGGGGAGGTACAAGATGGGGTGCCTTGTGGTACCAGAAAGTAAGGATGTGGTACCAGCCAGTCAGCATATTAGAACTGTACAGGGCTCACTTGAAAAGTACCCAGTGCCCAAAGGGCACTATAGTAAGTTCATGCCCTTGTCATTACATGGAGAACGGAATGAAGAAATAAATGGGGGGGGGGGAGGGGAGCAGCAGCTCTCCTTAAGGAAAATCACCCATGACAGAAGAAGAGAACACCACCACTAAACATTGCATCCCAGCAATGACGGCCATAGGCATGATGCATCCATGGATGCTAAATAGCAGGCAAAAGTTGAAGCAGAAATGGGATTTCTGGGCATAGTCTCAAAGTATCTCGCACAATTATGAAGAGAATAAGAGAAGTTTACAATG